ACATTTAAGAGTCGCATTTTACAAACATTTAAGAGTCGCATTTTACAAACATTTAACAGTCGCATTTTACAAACATTTAACAGTCGCATTTTAGGAACATTTAACAGTCGCATTTTACGAACACTTAACAGTCATATTTTACGAACATTTAAGAGTCGCATTTACGAACACTTAACAGTCGCATTTTACGAACACTTAACAGTCGCATTTTACGAACATTTAACAGTTGTATTTTACGAGCATTTAACAGCTGCAGTTTACGAACATTAAACGGGCGTTTTTTACAAACTTTAAGGTCGTACATTTTAAAAACATTTATTGCATAAGGCCATTCATTTGACCTTAATTACATAAGGGTTGTTTACTGGGACTGTTTTATATAAGCCGTTTTGTCGTAAATTTAAAGGGCTCTGTTACATAGCGCCTTCGGCCCAGATACTGATATTGATCCGTAATAGTTTTCGTTCGCTGTTTTATTTGCAGTTTTAACCATACCGTGTCGTTTCGTTCTGCGTTAAAAATTGCGCTAGAATTAGTTAGTATTAGTCGCCAGTGGCAGTTACAGTCATCACCCGCGAAAATAAATTGTGTTCTAAAATGCGGGAAGTTAAAAAGAGACTGATTAAAGAGCAGAATGCATCAAAAGAGAGGGGATTATATCCCATCCGATGGCGGAGAAAAATGCTGATGCATACAGGATTGAACTTATAAAAGTTATCATTGGAAACAAATGAAGTGTATCATAATTCACGAATCTATTAAGACTATCAATCGCATGTTCTCGTTTGAAAGTGGCACCTTCTGTGCGCCTTTAAAGGGAGACTTGATTATTCCGACGCTTTTTTCTCAACCCCTCTTTGACATCAAAAAGGCATTCAATGCTGTGGACCACAATGATTTTTATCCAAACTGATTACAGGTTTACTTTATTAAAGGAACATGGTTTTCTCTTGATTTCAGGAATCGTGCAGGAAACGATTAAAGGTGATTGTTCACACTGCCAATGCCCACATGTAGTTCCAGTCACGGTAGATCCAGATGGCAGTCGAAGCGAGAAAATATGAGATTACCAATTATGAATTGTCGGTTGTCAAATGCCATGTCATTAACACGTGAGTATATTCAAAAGGCTTAGAGTCTCTATATTGTTTAATTTCTTTTGAGCGGTCTATGCTGATCACATAGTCAAGAAGCAATGTCGACAAGCAGGACAAGACAATCAAGAAACATGAAACGTTCTTTCATATTGCTATGATTCTGTGATCTTTTAAGAGTGCCGCGTCCTAATATCCAGCGGGTGTTAGAAAGTACTGGACGAGTCAAAGAACTGGAATTTCCCAACAATTCCAGTACAGCTAATCTTCAGGATATTGTACTTACTGCTTTTAGCCAGCATCTAAATAGAAGGCAAGCGTCGAGGTAATGCTGACTATTAGTTAATTTTTGGCTTATACATATAATTCCAATAAACAAATACCGATTAACCGCTTTTTCTTTACTTTTAGTTTGCACTTTTATCGAACTGTGAGTGGTTCGAACATGTTGACCCTGGCGGGCCAAATGGGATGATATGTGTGGGGGTACCATGAAGGCAATGTTTAAAAGCCGCTCCAAGGTGTTCATGCGATTAGATCGAGGTAAGATTATTCTCAACAAAAAAGGGCAAGTTATCTTTATCAGTAAAAAGGCTTCGGGAAAAACATATTTGCATAACGGTAAGACATATCCACGCTGCAATAGCGGCCCCGATATCATGAGGATTAATGGAAAAATCGAATCATGTTTTTTAGACATCATTTTACAAAAAGTAAAGTGAAATGTAGATATAGTTCAACCCGGAATAGAGTGACACGCGAGTGCCACACGAGCGAAGATGTGTGAGTAGCAAGGGCATTGGCCCGAGATGAAATTGAATCTTTTCTCGTTGGTGAATGGTACATTGTGCTGAATAGGTTTTCAGATGGCAGCGTAGAAAATTCGGTTTTAAAGTGTATTCAGAAAGATTTGTCTTTTCACGGGACTTGATGACAACAATGTTTAGTAGAATTATGGTTACGGTTATCTGTCTTAATTCAATGAGACATTTGTGTCAAATTATGATGAGGTCTATGATTCATGTTGTGCCGAAACGACACGCAGCTTAACTACATCATACTGTGTCTTTTTAACTTGATAACGTCTTACCTTTTTTCAGAAATGATGAATCAAGATCAAGATAGTGCAGCAGGTGATTATTAATGAAAATATCAATATCATGTTTTAGCATCAAAGGTTTTACTTGGACAATCGAGCACCCGCTATTTACCAATAATTGGAGAGCATTCCTCGGCGAAGACGTGATTGGCACTGGGCAGTTAGCTTACTAAAGGCTCTAGATTTATTATCAGCTCTTTCAGTTTCTTTAGAAAGATGATCTTGAGTAATCTAGAATACTTTCCAAGAGAATTACTTTACTTTGACCTGATCTTGGTTTTCTTTCATGCTTAACAGGGCAATCAAC